TTGCTGATGATACCAAAATTTGGGGTGAGGTGGGCATGCTAGTAGGGAGGGAAAGACTGCAGCAGGGCCTGGATAGGTTGCAGGGGTGGGCTAACAAAAACAGGATGCGTTTCAATACGGACAAGTGCAGGGTGCTGCACTTGGGCAGTAGTAACCGGCAGCACACTTATACGATGGGGAACTCCCTACTTGAGAGTATGGACGCAGAAAGGGATCTCCAAGATGAACATGGGCCGACAATGCAAGCTCACGGTCGGCAGGGCTAACCGGACCCTATCGTGCATCCACAGGTGCATCGCAAGTAGGGCCAAGGAGGTGATCCTCCCCCTCTACGTGACACTGGTCAGGCCACAGCTGGAGTACTGCATCCAGTTCTGGGCGCCCCACTTCCAGAGGGATGTGGACAACATTGAGAGGGTCCAGAGGAGGCCACCCGCATGATCCGGGGACAGCAGGGCAGACCCTACAACGAGAGGCGACGGGACCTGAACCTGTTCAGCCTTCACAGGAGAAGGCTGAGGGGGGACCTGGTGACTGTCTATAAATTCACTAGGGGGGACCAGAAGGGTTTGGGGGAGACCCTGTTCCCCCTAGCAACCTCCGGGATAACAAGGAATAGCGGCCACAAGTTGTTGGAGAGCAGGTTCAGATTAGACATCCGTAGGAACTACTTTACAGTCAGGGCGGCTAGGATCTGGAACCAACTTCCAAGGGAAGTGGTGCTGGCTCCTACCCTGGGGGGCTTTAAGAAGCGGCTCAATGCCTACCTGGCTGGGGTCACTTGAGCCCAGTTTCCCTCCTGCCCAGGCAGGGGGTCAGACTTGAGATCTACAAGGTCCCTTCCCACCCGATTTCTATGATTCTATGATCATCTAAACTCTATGTAAGACAGTCGTCAGCCCTGGCACAACACAGACATGTCCCCGACCCTGCTGCAGAGGGATCACCGCCGCCAACATCCTGCTTTGTGAAATGCTGTCAGCAGATGCTCAGGAGGTCCTGGGTAGAGACCATGGCCCTGGTATGGAGGAAGGCAAAACCCCATGATCCATACCAATCTGACCAGGGGGGAAAGTACCTTCCTAACCCCAAATGCAGCACTGATCTGAGCCTGAGCATGGGAGCAAGAGCCTCCAGCCAGGACCCTGTGGGGTTGGTTGAGCAGGAGCATTGGCCCAGCCCAGTCCCCAGCCCCAGTCTGGGCTGCAGCCAGCACCCAGCACCTCTGGGGGAGGCTTGAAAACCCCCTGACACATGGAGCAGAAAGCGTGTGTGGGGGCAACCAGCACAGCCCAGAAGCCTGCCAATCTCCATAGTAGAGCACAGGCATCGCTGCACCTAGAGCATCCTGGCCCACCTGTCTGCCCAACCTCTCCTTGATGCCTCCAGTGCTGGAGAGTCCCCCCCTCCCCTGGGCATCTGGTCCACTGACCCCTGCTCCAACAGCAAAGACATTTTTCAAAGCCTCAGTGATCCCCGCGCAGGCCTGGCTATGGCTGCAAGAGTCTTCTGTCGCCAGCAACCAGCCGCTTTGGCCGGCTCAGCAGGGTGGGTGGGTTCCTCCTCTCGGCCCGTTCCCCCCAAGGGGCCCTTGCCAGCCCAGGAGCAGTCTGAAAGGGGGGGTGCATCCACACCACTGCAGCTGCCCTGGTCATGGGCAGGCCCCCGGAGCAGGGCATGTCCCAGCCACTGCTTTTTTGGCCAACCACCCTTGCTGTCTCCACCCGAGGAGTGTCCATGGACCTGAGACGCTCACCTCCAAGTGTCTGTGCTAGCCTCCAGCCCTGAGCTCCCAGGTTCCCTGCAACCGCAACCTCCTCCAGCAGCGGCGTCACGACCCGCAGCGCCTCCGCCGGCCCTCCCAGAGCCTGGGGAAGTGAGGCACAGCTGGGAAGGGCAAGTGTAGACAACAGGAAGGGACTTAGGCATGAGTCATGCAGGAGGGATGGGGAAACCACTGACAACACGGAGCAGGCAGCGCGGACCAAGAACTAGTTGTGCGAAGCCAGTGTGGTCTTAATTTGCTGGAGAACCCGGCCGCACAATGCCCCTGGCTCCCATTCACCTCTGCCCTTCCCCTGCAGCTCGGTGCCCTGGTCGCCTAACCCGGTCACACCAGGGCTGTGCCCCCGGGGCAGGGGTTGCGTCCCTTGCGCGGTTTGGGACACCACCACACAAGCGATCTGCACTGCCAACAAGGATGGACGGCAGACGCGATGAGCCGGCAGCGCACTATCGTTGGGGGGAAAACCCCAGTGCCACCTGGGCTGGGAGGAGGCGGCGATGAGGAGCACCAGGTGGAAGGAAGGAGGCGATAGCACCGCCCTGCCCGGAGCTGGTCTGGCCTCGCCTGGAGACCTGCAGGCAGGTCCCCAGTTACAACAGGCGGAGAAACTGGTGGGTCCAAGAGGCAGGCATTGAAGACCACCAAGGGTCTGGGACGCAGCTGGGGAGAAGGGGGCACGTTGTGTCTGGATACCAGGGGTGAAGGAGGGAAAGGACAGCGACTCCTCAAGCCCAGGAGAGCAGGCAGAAGAGCTGCAGTGCCGGGGCTGGGGCAGGGAACAGGCAAGACGGGCCGTCGCAAACTCGCAGCCCACCCCGGGAACGGCTTTGGTAGACCAGCCTCATTCCCCACCCAGGCCAAACTGGCCGGCACCTCCCACAGCCCTGCCCCACACGTGGATCCTGCGGTCTTCCCCCTCCCGGAGCCTGGCACCTAGCCTGCCCGAGCCCCTTGCAGCACAGCATTAGCTGGCACGGCCTGAAGCGGGGCCAGGGCCGCTATGAATTAAGAGCTGTTGGCAGGAACTCCTCGGCCAGCTCTTCAATAACTCCTGGATGGGAGCGAGGATTTCACAAGCTCCTCTCTCTCTGGAGCAGGGTCCCTGGGCCAGTCCCCCGTGCTCCACGGGCTTGGCACGGCAGTGCCCTCGCCCCGGTACCAGGGCCGTCTCGCACGGCAGGCCGTTTCCACGGCGGTAAGGGAGCCACGCACAAACCAAACCGGAGCAACACGTCGAAGGGCCGGGCCGGGGGTCGGCCCCTCTGCGGGCACGGGGCCCCACAAGAGTAGGGCC